TTGACCCTGTCCTGCCCTCTTTCTCTGATTGAAGTCTCTAACATTCACAAACGAAATACAAGGTGTCCAAGGGAGGCCACTTCTTATGAAGCTTCTCAGGGTCGTTATTACCAACTTTTTGGCATTTGCCACCTTTTTAGCGATGATTTCCGCTTTCCTTCAGAATCCAAGGCCCTACCGAGACCCTTCAACTTCTCGTAGGTCCCACTTTTCCTTCGCTTAAATGCTAAAAAAATCAAAAAGTTGCTGCAGAAATGTGAAGATGACTTACAAAATGAACCATGATGTGAGAGGTAGAGGAAGGAAAGAAGAGAGATGGCCCAAAGGGGTCGATGAAAAGCGGCGTAGAAGGCCAGGAACACCGGATGGCCAACCGAAGAAGTAGCGAAGGGCATCAACGAGAACATGACGAACAGTCCTGACAGCGCTGCCCACAACGACAGCATCACCGTGAACAACTGAAAGGAATTCAATCGAAATCATCGCTATAGGCAGTGTGCTGAGAGGTCCACATTCCGCAACGCGTAATAGTAGGGTATTTCCTAGATAGTTGACTCGACACGTAATCCATGTCTCTGTGATGGAGAGGGCGTGTCTGCGCACTTCATTTAGAGGTCGCGGCAACTGCTTTCCTTGTGGGATATTTTCGCTTTGAGACACTTGTAAGCATGTCTTTGTCCAGCTCAGGACAGAATGAAAGTTGGCTCAAATGGAGACATCCCGCCGAAGAGGTATCCCATACGCAGCCACGCCCTGTCCATCTCCGTGATACGGGTTACTTCGAAGTTTTCAGCACATTCGGTAAAAGGAAACCAAAGGAAATATGGTTCAACTTGCCTTTCCAAAAATGTCTTTGTATAGCATGCCATCCTCATTCCACATGCATACACCAAACAGAAAACCAACTATGGTTGGTGAAGCTCTGGTCAGTGGTGACACAAGCACCTCATTCAGCATACGCTCGGTCTGCTCAACCCTAAAATTCTGCCAAAGTAAGTCGCTAATTAGAATTACTTATCAAAATGTACAAGTACGTCGTTTCTTTCAAGATACAGTACCACTTTCTACTTAACCTTTTCAGAAACTCCCGAGTCTCCTCCATAAAAGGGCTATCAATCCCTTTGCGGAATGCGCCACGCACTTCTCCGCCATCTATTCAGTCAGGTAGGGCGCGTGAAGGCGTGAGTTGAGGTGCAGGCAGAACAGCCTTTCCTGCCAACAAGCGCACGTCCTACATTGGGATGATCCGCTATGATGGCCGTATTCGGTCGCTGGAGGGAGGGGGTTCGCATCAGAAGGGGAATTTTGAAGTAGCTCGTATTTTGCAGAAATTTTTTACAGTGGTGGGACCCGCTGCGGAGCCAGGATGGCATCATTGGTGGAATGGGCCGTCCTTTGGTTTTTTTTTTTTTTTTTTTTAGCAGTCCCAATCCGCGCCCACTCCACACCCCATACTTTGCTGGGATTACGGTTGTACAAGAGCTGTTTCTCTAGCGCTAACTGTACTCCCGTGGCCGCCCGATTACTGGAAGTTCCAGTAATCGGCGACCGGGGGCAAAGGCAAAAGGGCTTGCCCGGGGAGTTTGACACCTCAATAATGCAGCTGCTCTACCTTGCCTTGCTATTAAACTTCTTCTCTTCAGGATCTTCAAGTTAGAGTTCTGTTACTGCTGTTCTGCTATACCCACCCCATTCCTCAATGAGTCACACCAACATCTCAAAACTGCTAGGGAACGTGCTTCCGACCTCGAAAAAATTCAAATAAATGTAGCTCACGGTACGGGTTCGACGGTGTGAGAAGCGCCGCGGTAGAGCACCATCCAAAGTGCGATAGAAACTCCATGAAATCGACAACGACATGATTATGACGGCAAATGATCTGAAGTGGATTCATGGTGAGGACGAACAAGTTCAGGGAGTAATGGCATTGGACAGCATCGTTTGAGAGCCCCATCAGCGAGGGGAAGGGAGGGGCGGGGGCGAAGTATCCTCTTCAACTAGAAAAAATTCTTCTCAAATAAGCCAACCTATCGCCACACTCGATGTTGAAATAAGAACAGTAGTAGTTGGACTGGCGGTGACGACACTACCACCTCCTCCCCCTCGCGACCAGGCCTCGAAATTTTCTGGGAAGTGGTGAAATAAAGTGCCTTACGAGTTGGAGTTGTGGGAAAGATCTAGAAAAATGAAAGTTAGGATGGGTGAAGTAGCCGTTTGACACCGCTATTCCTCCCATCCTGATGCTGTACCCTAAATAGAGACCCTATCGGACTGATGAGGTACAGTTTTTCAGCCCTGCTCTGGAACCTGTTTTCAATAGACACTAATTTATCATATTTGAAAGAAAGCTTGCAAAAAAAAAAACAGTTGCGCGAACTCACCTTGGCAAGTAGCAGTCTAGTTCTGGCCACATAAATCAGAACCACCAAAGGAATGAAGTAGAGCGCTTCTAGAGAGACGACGTAGCCAAAGTCGACACACTTCAATATGAACACATTTTAAGCCCTTCTGATTATTCTCGAAACAGGAATGTGGTGCTGTTCGGCTTGGGAGGTGCATTTTGCATTTTCGCTAGTTTCTTTAGCATAACTTTTTTTCTGGTGTGAGACCTGTGAACTCCTGTGAAGTAAAATAAAATGAGTGCGCCACTTTGGCTACAGGATTTAACGGGCCTTGGACAAGATGGCCTAGACCAGTTTCGCTGAGTACCAGTTAGTGCCTCCACCAAGCCGAACTGCGCCTAGGAATGTAAACTAAGTGTGAGACAATTGATATGTTTGTTTACCGTGCTTTTGACACCGTAAAAATTGTTAATAAATAAAAGATTTTTCCACCAATTGTTCGAGCACCGTTCCATCTGAAAAGGATTTCTTTCAAATAGCGAATCCATAGCTGTCATACAATCCGCTGCCATCCCGGCCGACCTTAACGCCCTATTTTGGCGGCGCAGGAACGTTCCATTCAAAATATGTGTAAAACCTAGGAAGCAGAGGGAGGGCAGTCGGCGGCAAGGCTAGATTGCGCATGTCGTCTGTTCACCTGCGCCCTTTCACCGTAATAGCGCTCACTGATCTTCCTCCAGCAAACTGTCTTATAGTGCGTTTATACTTCGCGATTTTGTCGCTCTGAGCGCGCCATCAGATCCACCATACGGTGAAGTATGGACGCTCTCTCAAGACAGAGTGAAAAGAAAACGGTGCTGTTTCGTCCACCCCTCCCCAACCCCCCTGCTCTTCCCACATCCTAGCCGTAGAAGAAGCGCCTTTACTCGATTGGCTACTACTTCCTCACACTGGGAGTGTAAAATCAGCCGGAATAGGTTCGCACGGCTTATGAATACAAACATACCGTATCCGTGTGTATCCAAAGAGGACCTGCTGACAATTCAGGAAACAGAATCCACATGAATAGTACACAGAATGCATAAGCTGGCCAGAATCTGAATAATACATATTACTTCCTTTATCTTTTCATCAATACACTGAACTGTACTTGCAGTTACGCTTGTCGTAGTAAAGTTTGTCATTTCAGTCACATACACTCGTGGGAAGGGGCGTATTGGTGCGGCATTTCAAATAAATGCATGGAAGTAAGCCGCCACTCGTGCTTTTCTACTACTGGTTGTTTTCTTCCTGAACCTATCACTATTGGAGGAAAAAGACCAGGCGGGACGCGCCTCCTTCGAACCGCCCCGACTGATTGCGACGATAAGAACCATACATGAAGGCCAACGGTTGTTTCAAAGCGTATGGCTGTGAGAAAAACATTTTGTGGCACTCTCCACAATGACGTTTGGCAGCTGTCCCGCCTCCATAGCTAAGGACTAAAATCAGAGCAAAATGTTTTTCTACCTGAGCAACCCCCCCCCCCCCCCCCCCCCCCCCCCCCCCCCCCCCCCCCCTAAGTGACTGCGTATCACATCGACGATATCACTGACTGTAGCGACATCTCCATAGAGCAAATAAGTAGTATACAGAGCAGAAAGGGCCAAAAGGCCATCTATCAGATATGAATAGTTGTTAGTAGGGTGAGTAGCCAGTGAGGAGACGCCATCGTATGAAAACGCGACGTTCTCTGTAATTTTCAATCCTTACGCCTCAAAGATCTTGTATAAAGTAAATGGAACTGTAGAGGAGCGTGAATATCTGTTGATTCGAGATTTTGGCAAACGTACCGCTAGGTAGCACCCCTCGTCTCGTACAATGGCAATCCTCAGCGAGAGGGGTCGTGTTTGGTCACTGGAGGAGGACTCGTTTCTCTGATGAGTAAAAGGCTTTTTTCCAGTGACCGTGCCCCCCCCTGCTTTCTCGTTTACCCCGTGGTCACGCGCGAATCTGGCAATTTCGAAAAAAGTCTGGCGGAGACTGGCAGTAAGGTTGGACGGTAGGAATGGTGTGGGCCAATTGTGATATGGGGATTCGGCACCAGAGCGGAAGAATTCAGAGGCGGGCGGGGCAGACTGTTGCACCAATCATCTTTCCGCCCACAGCTGCATGTATTTGCATCTGCATGTCGCACTTTCTGTTCAGCGCAATTTCCTTACTACTGAAAGCTCGAGGATGGAAAACCAGTCGCAATGAATTCATTCAAGAAAGGAGGGGACCCCATCGAGAAACGTTACCCCTCCTTCTCATTCGCAAAAGCTCCAGCATAATACTTTACAACTAACACTTCCAGCTGATACGTTACCGCGCAGGTTATTAACTAGATTCACTAACCTGCGAGACCACCTGATCGTGCTGTTTAGCGGGAACCATTGAGTTTGGCGCTAAAGCGTTAAGTAACAGCAAAATAAAGCTACTGCTTAAAGTGCACTCACCAATGTAAGGTTGCATATAGTTATAGACCATTGCCGTGGCCAACCAGATAAATGTGATAAATTCAAGACCATGAAGTGCATGAAGGCTCTGTGGAGCACTAAACTGCCGTAAAAATGCATGTATTAAGAAGTTCCAGAAAAAAATTTTGGCTGCCTGATTCTACTGAAACTGCCTAAAAAAGTTAAAATCGACAGGCAGACCCGTTTAGTTGAGAGTGCCCGCCGCTGGACAATTCACTTTGATATTGAGACACATCCAAAAGATGGACTGCAGATCATAAGCACAGGTGGCCAGCACCTGTAGCGCCAACCAGAAACAATATCGCACCTCTGAATGCAAGGTCTTAGTTTGAACTCCATGATGCTTAGAAACTGGTATTACTCCATGGAATTCACTATGATTATGAGATACGCAGTACCTACAGAGTTGTCGTCTAATTTTCTCAGTTTCTGGGCCTCCAATGGCCGTTAGCAATCTATCTGCCCGACTCAGGGACGGAAAACTGCACGAATGAGAACAGTGTCTTCCTGGGTGCAATTTGAGAGGAGGACCCTAAGCGACGGTGTCACTATTCATCAACGGGTCTGCCCTTCCCATATGTTCTTGAGTCCATGGAATTCGTGTGAGTGCTTCTTTTCCTTCGATGGGAGCGCTCAGACAAGCAGATACGACGTGCCACAGCCACGCCGCCCCCGCATGGCCCCCTGTACTTCAAACCATGGCTATGATCATATACAGGGGGCCAAAAAAGTCACTCTGACCGAGTCACATATCAGCAAAGTTTTCTCTGCCCAGACAGAGGACGTGGATACGAGTACCAGGGCGGAAGATACCCAAGATGTTCCTCGATAAGCAGGAGCTGGCTCTTGCCCATCACCTTCATGTACACCAAAATATGAGGTCATCTCCAGTCGCAGCCTGAGGAGAAGACCTTTGGATTCAGTCACCTCCAAACAGCAGCGAAACTCCTAGTATGGAGTCACCCATGGATAGCTACCTGGAGACCAGTACTCTCGATCTGGATGATCTCCAACATCGAGCAGCTCCGACAACGTCGCCACGGTCTAGGACATCATCTTCACCAGTCGCTAAGGCACGGGAAGACGGTATGAGCCGGACGTACCTGGTATGGAAAGACCTATATTTTTTTTTCGTGGACCCCGGCACTGAAGGTGAGCGCTGGCGGTTACATCGAGCAACTCGAGAAGAATATCCTCCCCACATGTCGTCGCCCGTACCTTCTTGGAAACTTTGTACTGCTACAGCATTGGGTGCCACCACATGGAATCGGAGGGCGTTGGAAAAAACTCTCGCCTACTTGGAATGGAAGGGCGTTGAGTACCTGAAGGAAAAATGGAATATCCAGGTAGGACACTTGACCTGAATCCCCTCAATTAGCCGGTGCGGGTCTTATAGCGCCTCGAATGTCAAGGAAGGAAGTGACTTTTTTTAATGGCCTCCCCTGTATGCAGAAGGGGTCCATGTACAGGAAAGCTCCTTACAGTTAGCACGGAGACTTTGTGCCCGAACCTTTCAGGAACCTCCGGGAGGTTTTGCGGACTGCTATGCTTCCAAGCAATCAAGTAAATATGAATTTTTCGAATTATTTTTTTGATAGAATAAGCATTTTGTTCTATTTTACTTACAACATGATGAGAGCCGAAGTCGAAAGGCGAACGTCCAGCTCACAGTCGATTAGTGTTTTGTACGGTGAATAATCTGAAAAACGGGAACATTATATTCTGCGGCTCGGACTTCAGAAAAGAAATGGGGCAGAGACTAACAATCAAAGGGGCGCCTCTAAAGGCATATGGCACGGTAATTTGGTACTCGGTCTAAAATGCTAGCAAGGCTGCTATATAGTGTAGAAAATGGTGAAAAAAACGGAAAATTGAAATGAAACGGCCGAAAACATGCAAAGAAAGCTTTCGTTCTACAAGACTCAAAAAGTAATTTTGGACGAGTTTTTCGTAAGCATCCTTGCCAATAACCGCTATGGTAGATACGGCTGCATGTATGTACTCATATATCCATGCTGCACCGCGGTCGCTTCATATCCATCCCTTCGTTTCACATTTTACTTCGCAAATGAAGCAATACGAGCATGGGGTACAGTCGTCCATTTGTGGGCGGGCGGACGCGGTGGGCGTCCGGGTCGGTATCTTGCAGCTTAATAAGGCCTCATAAGGATGCCTGCCTTGCAAAAGGCGCTACGCCGTGCCTGCTCGGGGCGCGGACTGCCAAGCATATTGATCCTCCTCGTCTTAGGGACATAAGTGCCCTTTAAAGGAGTCACTTCGCCAAAACTCGGTTACTTTCACAAAGGATGGCGGGCTGCGGTTACTTGAAATTTTAGTTTACCCACCCGGCAGGTCCTTCCACTTTAGGCTTAGGCAAAAGTCACGGTCACCGTTGCAAATGCCCCCCTCCCTGGGGTTCTTGGTGCATAAATGAGGTTTACGAATGTTGACAAGACGGGATTACCACCTTCCACTGAGTGATTCAGAAGCGGTTATGTCTGACCCCAATTCAGCCCTCTCTATTACTCTAATAAGAAACACCTTGAACCAGTTGATGAAGTTGATCGTCCGTACATGACGTTGGCATACAAACCCCGAGAACTATCGCCAGTGGATCAGTCTGTGCACAGCCCTCTTCAACCTGCAATGGATTGTTACCTACAGCAATAGAAGAACACATCATTGCATAGATAAACTCACTAACGCATCCGGGATCTCCAGTTCCACTCTACAGTACCGTCCATCGAATTTGCCATCACTGAACGTTCAGCATTTGAAGTGAAGAAATAGAATTAATGGAGGGAGAATGCAAACGTTTAAGCCACTTTGCTAAATGTTCTGCAAAAAATCAAAAGACAATTCTAAAAGCACTCATCGCATTCAGTGCGCGCACGAAGAAATGGGCGGGAAACTCGCGCGCGAACCGGCAAGATGGGCGGGACACTCACAAACCACTCTGAATCTGTCGTTTGTGCGTATCCCTCTGTCACTGATGAGTCTCCTTTTTTGACTTCTTCAGGAGGCGTTGATCGCCTCGCAATGATGAATGACAATAGTTGTAATGAATGTTTCTTCCACGCCACGGAATGTGACTTAGAACATTTTTAGTTGCATAAACAAAAAGAATCTGACTGCTTACAGCTGAGCATTCTGTATTGTAAAGCTGAACCTTTGGCACGAGGAAAAGCGGTTGGCTCGATCGACTAGCCTATCAAGATCCCGCAACAATTGCCTTTTGAAAACCCCCACAATGCTTAATGAAAGAAACGATGTTATAATAGCATTAAAAACGATCGAGTAGCGCAATGGACCACTTTTGATTTTGATGGCCTTTTGATATGAGTGCCATTCATGTTCCCTTGAGATGCGGACAGGGCGTGACTGCGTGCTCTAATTGATTATAGGATAAGATGCATTTCGCTGGATATTTACATCGGAAGCAACAGCCACTCCTCTTTCGCTGGACGTAGGCACGATAACAATTTTTAAAAAAACGAGAATATGCCAACGAAAGCGTAGTCGCCGCAATGTTTGAATGAAGTACGCAGCCACGCCCTCCCCATCTACGCGATATGGGAAGTTCGTGAAAAAAAAACTAGACCTTAGGTATTAATAATAATAAATCAAATTCCCGGGCAACATTTCACAAAGGGAGGTTATATTGGGAGCATGCTCCTTGAGAAAGGGAAAATGGGTACGAATAGATTTGAAAAATATGTCAAAATGGTACCTTCGTAATTTCGAACACAGCTCGTAGTCACCTAACCAGTAGTAGTTGCCGTCACTGACTCCAGCCGCAGGCTTCCCAAGAGAATCCCACCCTGAAACTCCAGTGATTTCAATCGCATTTGAGAATTGTGTGCCAATTCATCCTTTTCTTAACGCATCTTCTGAACTTGTTGGAAACTTCTCCTTTTGACCTTGCGTTTTAATTAGCGATTGATAAATTCTCCGCACCGCTCATGAAAGCCCAACATTGGCTCCGTCAAATCTTTAACAGGCGCGCTCTGTCGCGATCAGGTATCAAAGTTGGAAATATGGCGTCAGGAGGTTAGTGTGGTCCGTGACGAACAACCTTGTACCGGTTTCGCGGCAAAAATTTCTAAGAGAGGGGCGCTGTAGTGCAACAGAGATTCAGTGGTTCTCCTTTCCAGTGACTTCCGCCTCCAGGACTCCGCCCCAGGCCGGCTTTCAAGTGAAAAACGAAGTTGCCAGAACGAAAAGCATAAAGCTTGCCTACGATCGTAGGGTTGCGTTATCGGCTGCAATCAGCTGTGCGTATGAGAACCTAGTGCTGCGAGATAGAGTTAACTTGGGGGGGCGGCGCAAAAACGTACAACGCTGCGGCATCGATAAACAGGTTCTATCTAGGCAGGTGGCATGTTTTTTGTGCTTTTTTCCACTGTCGAGTTACTCAACCCCTTGTCGTCTATATGGAACCCCCTAATCCACTATCTGAGATGGCGAATAATCGCGGGATTTGCCTTTAACGTACTGAAGAGCTCTCTGGTGCCATACAAAGGCGTGGGAGCTACCAGCCCCAGAGACTCTTTAGGAACCCCAAGGGCGCAACGGAAGCTGGACTTCTTTTTTGCTTCTCGATATGTTCTCAGTTCGTAAGATCTAAAGCATTCGTTCACCAAATTTCGGCTTCACTTTCTGCCAGCCGAACGTCCTGCCGTGGTCAGCGGAAAATACCGCCCCCCCCCGAGGTTTCGTCCGGAGCGACCCTCCCCCCCCCTACGGACCACCTTTCCTAGTTTTCGACAGTATTTCCCAATTTCTCAGTCTTTCCCCCGAAGAAAAAGCTGCCGTCGGCAGCACGGAGAGGTGAAGTTGTGACGGGCAGAGCGGCAGATAGGCATGTGTAACGGCACGAACATTTTAAAAGTCAACACTGCGAAAACATCCCTCGCCGCTCGGCGAAACGGTCTTCTCAGAAGCGTCTACGACCCTCTCTCCAGTGACCAAATACGACCCCCCACTACTACGACCGTGCCTTGCTTTCTGCACCAAAAACTCGACACATTGAAAAGAGTTTGGGCAATAGAATCAGAAAAAATCACTTTAAAAACTGACATGAGATAACCCATTTGTTAGATTCCACTTTGTGAGCGCATTCTGAGCAACGAGCTGAACTCTCACTTTGTCCCGAGCAGAATAATGCATCTAAATAACAAAATCAGAGCCATAGTTTGAATTCTAGTCGTCGAGTTCAACCTATCAGAAAGCAGTTAATGGATTACGACCTGAAAATATTTAAGTACATAGAAAAAACTGTTCCGCTGAATGGAAGGTAAGTGTGCAACCTTGTTCGCTGCGGATGCTGGGGCGTGTCAGGGGGCTGGGCTTGGCACGCCGCCAGTTCGTTATCCACAAGTTGTCAAAAGCCGGAGTAAGCGATCGGCGGAAAGCGACAGATACGAATGTGATCCAAAGTCTAGTCGCTTGTTGATAGAAAGAAAGAAATGAAACAGACCCATCCCATCTACACGCCCCATCCTCCGCCGCGAAAGACTGCACATGCCTAGGGTGTCCAATTACTCCGTCTTCTGTAGAGTTTTCAAGGGTCCCCTCGGTGAGCCAAAACGCCTTTTTCATCCCCCTGGCACAAACTCTTTCTGTACTGATTCGCGATGATGATTTTGAAGGAAACTCCTTGGAACAAGCTGTCAGCCCTCAGGTATGCTTACCCAAGCTCTCGTCAGTGCTGCAGAATAAGTTCTCGAAGCCACTCCGGCAGTGTTCTTCGACATCTAGCTGACGGGAAAAGTTACCTAAAAGTGGTGTAAGTAAACAGCAGCCAAAGATTTCCAGAAAGAGCCCAATATCTGATAATCTGACAAAACTGTGGCATGGTTTCCAGATTCAGATGTGGTATAGACGGCAACTTGTACTGATCCAAAGGGCGTGGTCGGCCGCCGGCCTCGTGCGTGGCCGACTCCTGAGAGGGCACAGCGCCAGAGCGCCATAGCTGGGACGGAGACAGTAGAAGTAGTCCGCCACATTCTCGTAATACCTGAACGAGAGCCCACAGGTTTGAGCGAACTCTGAAAAAATATTTTCATTCAAAAGGTAAAAATGACCCATTCGTAACATTGAAGCAAGGACCCGTCATCAGCAATTCCCACATAGAGCAGAGAAGGGAAGCAGTGGAAGGCAGCTACATTCTAGTTTCTTATTTTGAGCCAACAGTAGATTATCGCGATGGCTCAAAGCGAACGTCTGTTTTTTCTGACTCACTACGACTGTCAGAAAAAGAAAATTTTGAAAAGAAGGAGGGTGTGCACTGCAGGCCTCGGCCAAGGCCAGCCTAGTTAAACCGTTATCACAGGCTGGCATCAATCGGTATTATATATTATAGAAAGCGCTGCCCTGGCTGCGCTCCTGTTAACGCTCCTTCAGACGCCCTCTCCTGTGCAAGGATCACGACTATACGTGCGAGTAGATCAACTTTTGGTGCTATTATGACTCTTTCTTCGGGAATAATTCCCTCACAGTATTGCCATTTATGTATTATGTTGGCCCCTGTGTTAAAAATTGGCGTTTTTCTGTCACACAAATTTTTCATGTGGAAAATGACAGTTGTTCCCAATATGTTCTACAGTGTTTGAAGGTAATTTTCCGCACTATGAGACAGTTTAATTGCCTTCTTACTATTTCTCGACTTGTGTCGATTTTTATTTCAATGAAAGGGAAATTCGGGTCGACCCAAAAAGAGTTTTCGACAACTGCTTTACGAATTTTATCTCGGCTCTCAATCTACAGTGGAAGCTCAAACCTTGTGGTATATATGAGCAAAGGAAGGTGCGTCTTATAACAGCTTGAAGTTGGTTCAAGCGAATCAAGAGTGAGAATTCGGACCATGCAAAAGAGTAAGTAAAGTGTTTTTGCTACACTGCACTGCGGATGTAGGGAAATGACACAAGCCGGGTTTGGACAGCCCTTTTTACATCACTTATTGTCGCTTGCCCGTTCAAACAATAAAGATGGTGGGAACGCCGGGGTACTCACCCGCTGCCAACGCTCCTTGGGACATGACTACGAAAGGATGCCAGTCTTCGCTTTGAATAAGGTTGAACTGACCCCTTCCCTTGAGACCTATCCAACTGCTGCCCAATGGATTGCGTAGGACACATTGCATTCAGTGAGTAACTTTTGTATTGAATGGAAGAGGCATGCATGCCGCATCCTAGAAAGGATTGATAAATGGCGAAAATTTACCCTTTCAATCTTTTCGGAACCACTGGTTCGAGTTAGTGATCATAGGTGTAAGCGCCTTCGAGGCGACACCGCGGGCACGGTGCGACCCCTCATCGCTTTTGGCGCGTACCGCCCCTATGAAAGGCTCGTTCGCACCTCTTGCTTTCACATTTTTGCATATACCCCACAGAGGTACACTCGAAATCCCTGAGATGAGGTAGGCATGGCTGCGTACTTCAACCAAACGTAGTGTGATCTCTCTTGGAAAAGACATTTTCATGTTGACCCAAATGTGGTCACGCCTTTTTCCAACAAAGAACAAGACGGTTGTCTGAAATTTAAATATCCCACGAGTAGCCAGTTCGCTTGCCTATGTTCGAATGCACGGCCTTACCGTCTCAGGGATAAAGAGTATATGTGATTAGCTGGTTGACCCCGCACTCAATTGATTCTACTGCCGTTGGCCATGGTTAACCCTTGTTGAACAAGTACCCACTTCGACAGACAGGCAAAGCAACGCAGGTATGTATTTTCCAGAGCTTTCTGAATTTTCATATTTTTCTCTGTAACTGACACTTGTAGTTTTCACGTGTTGGTATTCTTGCGCATGAGGGTACCTCACTATATCGTCCGTCATTACCGACCACGTTTCTCCACTTCCTCTAGCTCACTATGCGCTCCGTACATTGAAGCAGGTTTTGGCAAAATGGGTGATTCTCCATGGAAACGTCCGACGAGCAGATGGCGCTTCATATGAACACATAAAGCAAAGACGTATACTATTTGAAGGGAATCTGTACTTTTTTAAGAGAAAAAGAGTAAAACGGGGGTGGGGGGGGGTGGACGTGAATCGAGAAAAAGTGGTACAATTGCAAAACAAGCACAAAAAAGGAAATGGAAGGGCCAGAAAGGACAGCGAACGGAGTAAAGTTTAAAAATGAGACATTTGTTCAGAAGTGGGACTATCAGAGCAGAAAGAGCTTTGTATAGCGCTGAAAGTCGTGTCCTCTGTGTCAAAATCGGAACTGTTTCACCTTATTTGGAAAAATTTCAATTTCCTGGGCCTTCTGACAATTCTTATTCAATATGAATCATTCTTATATACAACACTGTACAAATATCATCGAGAAAATCCAGAAAAAATTACGCTAGTTTGGAGGCAAAGGTAAGCCCTATTGCATGGGTGCGTCTTATATAGCCGTTTTCGCTGCAATGCATTGCGGATGTAGGGAAATGACAGAGGCCGGGTTTGGCCAGCCCTTTTTTCATCACTTATTGTCGCTTGCCCGTTCAACAATTGGTGGAACACGGGAACGCACCGTGCCAAACCCAATACCTTGACATGACTACGAAAGATGCGAGTTCGTTTTGAATAGGTTTATCTGACCCCTTCCCTTTGAGATCCTATCCAATGGCCCTCGCCATCGCTTCGCTATCCTTCGAGAAGTATCAAGTCCAAGCCGGTCAAACCTTTCATATCTCCACTATCCGCGTCAGAAAAACTGGTCCATCACTTGTGCGAAAAGCAACCGCTTGAGTCAAAACGCTTTGATGCAATGAGTTCGCCGGAAAAAGATGACAAACAATTCCCACAATCGAGGTCGTAAACTTTTTGCGTGGAATAATCCTGAGTGGTGTGTGGTTCAGCACATCCAAAAAAAGGCATAAGCTCAAAATAAATAGTACAGTATTTACTAGCTCTTTGAACTGCGCTGCTACAAACATGTTAACACAGAAGTTATTCGGAGTGTGCCATGGGTTTTGGCCAACCCGTTTTCCATTGATCCTTGCGCCTTTGGACATTCAATATGAGCGGTGGGGAAGGGACTGGCGAGCGCCCAAACCCATGAATGATGCTGACCCAGGCGCCACTGACACACCCTAACTGATTTCTGTGATCACGACTGTACGCCGAGTGGGTTTAGTCCTGATGCGGACGACCCAGCTCGTAACGT